CCACAAGGTCGCCTCTCAACCTTCTCTTGCGGAGGCTGAAGAGGTCCAGGTGCCCCAGTCTCTCCTCGTAGGGATTGGCCTGCAAGCCCTTAACCATACAAGTGGCCCTTCCCTGGACCCTCTCCAGGTTATGCACATCCCTCTTGAAGTGTGGCATCCAAAACTGCACGCAGTATTCCAGCTGTGGTCTGACCAGCGTCCGATAGAGGGGAAGTATCACCTTCTTTGTTCTGTTTGTCATGCATCTGCTGATGCACGATAAAGTGCCATTAGCTTTCCTGATGACTTCATCACACTGACGACTCATGTTCATCTTGGAGTCCACTAGGACTCCAAGATCCCTTTCCGCTTCTGTTCCACCAAGCAGGTCATTTCCTAGGCAGTAGGTATGCTGGAGATTTTTCCTCCCTAAGTGCAGCACTTTGCATTTCTCCTTGTTTAATTGCATTCTGTTGTTTTCCGCCCATATGTCCAACCTATCCAGGTCTGCTTGTAGTTGTTCCCTCCCTTCTGGTGTGTCCACTTCTCCCCACAGTTTTGTGTCATCCTCAAACTTGGACAGAGTACACTTCACTCCCTCGTCCAAGTCGCTAATGAAGACATTGAAGAGTATCAGTCCAAGGACCGAGCCCTGCGGGACCCCACTGCCCACACCCTTCCAGGTCGATACCGACCCATCCACTACAACTCTCTGGGTACGACCCTCTAGCCAATTCGCCACCCACCAGACTGTGTAGTCATCTAAGTCACAGCCTCTTAACTTGTTTACCAGTATGGGGTGGGATACCGTATCGAAGGCCTTCCTGGAGTCTAAGTAAAAAACATCAACTCCTACTCCTGCAACAGCACACACTATATTTCTTCTAGTGTGGTGTGGTGTGGTGAGAATTACTCTGGCTTACACCTATAGTCCTCCAGATCAGTTTGGGAAGTGGGTTTACCCCACTGCTGGAGCCCTGTCCCTGACTTGTCAGCCATGTCTTTATCTGCTCTTGCAAAGCCCTCCTTAAAATACACTGTCCTTTCTGAAGGCCTTTAAAATCCACTCCACCCCTCAAAGTAATGTTGACAAAAGTAATGATAATGTTTCAAAAGAAAAGAAACATTACTGCAAATTCACTTGGTTTTTTGTTTCATCCTATTCCAGTGATTTGTTTACACACTGTCTGTTTATATAGTCGGTGCTTTTTTGGAGGCTGGGATATTATACAATCTGTAAATCGTATGCTATCTTGTGGGCACAATATAAATCATAACAGCCACTTCATAGGAAATCAAATGCCAGTCAGGTTTTTTTCCTTTTAATCAGAAATGTTCCTTTTAGGTTAAAGTTGTATTAATATGAACAATCACTTCTTAAACATGCACACAAATCATAAGCTTAAAACTTATAAGGACACAATAAATATATATCATGCAAACATGTCAATAATAGTTTCTGAAGAATGATTCAACTTTTAGAGTTGCAGTCTGTAACCAGTGTCGACATATCCATTGCAGAAAAAATCAGGAGTATTCAAAACAAATTCTCATTACTTTCTGTCTTTGTGATTTTTTTCTGAATGGTATTAACTATTTTTTTAACCTGAATGTGGGAATTAAAGTATCTATTTTTTCACTAGTTAAAGCCAATGTTAATTTTTCTAAAGTTGTATGGGCACAGAAGGACTCTTAAAATCAATCCTTATTCCATAAATGTGATCTTAAATAATGTGTTTATAATCCCAGGAACACTTTACATATATTTACTGCATATATTTACTGGAAAAAATGTGTTTCAAGGGATCATGCCTCAGCATCTCATAGGAGCGTATTTATTGTCCATTTTATGAACATTTTGGTAAATAATGTGTATACATCCAGTTTTTTTAATGCTGTGGTGGTTCACTGTCTTTTAATTATGTGAAAAATATAGTATACAAGCCATGACTATACGTGGTAGTTTGTATGTAGCTTGAAATGTTATTCATGAGGTGAGTGGGAATGATTTAACTTCATCAACCAGTTTCCTCTAACATAACATTTTTCACTACTGAAAATCTGATAGCCCTGTTTCCCCCCTCTCCTGCTGTCATTCTGATACCTCGGTCTATGTCAGTGTGGTATGGGTGTGGTTGCTGCAGCAACAGCACACACAAGGTAACACCCTCTTATAACTACATATATGTGAGTCAGTTTAAAATTTTACAAGGTTCTTATTAGTCTGTGATGCACTCCTTAGTCATCTGCAATTACTAGCTCATCCAATACTCACAAATTTTAATTTGTTATTTACACAATGCAAATCACTTTCAGTGTTTAGAAGTGCTGGGCCTCCCCAACAAAAGTCATTCTGGGTTCTATGAACCTCCAAGGCACATCTGGTTAATTCTTATGGTAAAAAGATTCCAGTTAGTTTCAAATAAGAGAAAAAAATAGGACTTTACAGATGATATCTTTGCAGAACTGCACAATATGTATCCATCTGTCCCTTAAGCAGGATAGAAATCAACTGGCTGTCCAGTTTTCTCGAATATCCATCAGGTGATTGGTCAGGTGCTAAAATAATGTTTGCCCTTTAAAACAATATTTAAAGTAGTTGGGAAGAATAAATGTTGAGGGATAAAATTGGAGTTAACTGAAGAAATATTCTACTTGATCCTTGTTAAGGCAAAGCCAATGAGAAAAATCATCAGTAACATCTAACAGCCAATTTTGTTTACTTTTCAGACATGGAGATGACTTGATTGTGACACCATTCGCTCAGGTAGGCACAACTTTGCCCTATATTCATACAAAGGATAAGATTAGTAATTTGATTTCTCAGGTGTTGTTTACATTTGAAGGATCACAGATTGCCTGTCCATAATTTCTGTACATCTCTGCATTTGGATTTTTTTTCCTTGAAGTGAGGAAAAGATAACTACTGTTAGATAGACAAACTGATCCTGCTATAGATACTACAGGCAACCCTCACCATTCATGGGGGATATGTTCTTGAGATCCCTGTGAATGGCGAAATCTACAAATAAGGCATTGCATTCATGAACATAGTGCCCCCGGTGGCTGGGGGGGCATGGCATGCTGGCAATGGCGAGAGCCTGGCAGCAGTGGTGGGTGCTTGGTGGCGGCAAGCGCGGTGCTCCTGCAAGTGTATTTAAGATGCGGGTTTGGCATTCACGAATATTTGAAACCACAAATGCTGAACCTGCGAATAGCAAGGGTTTCCTGTAATTACTTTTCTTTTGTCGGTTTTCCCTAATTCCTTGTATAGAAAAAAATTGCAGGTATATAAATTAAAAATAGCCTACTTGAATTTCTCCTCAAATATTTTATCAAACCACAATGGTACTGTGCCACCAGCAGGACAAAACTTTCTGGTTGGTTGTAGCCATGTTGGTCTAAGGACATAGGCAGACGGGGTTCTTTGGGTAGATATGATATCTTTTATTAGACTTTGGTCTGACTTAGTTGGTTTAATAAAAGCTATTCCATCTACCCAAAGAACCTGAAAAGCTACTCAGCATTCTACTCCTAGTGAAATCAAGTATTTTTTTATTATTCACAGTTTATAAGCCCCTCCTATGCCTCTATGTACAAAGGGATTTTTTAATATAAGACAATTTCTGCTTACATTTTTTACTCACAAAATCAAACTATTAGATATTTTGAGTTTTGTAGTGACATTTTGTAAAATAGGAGCTCAAATGTAATGTAATTACAAACCTTCCTATGTTTTTACAACTTAGCTATATTGTGGTATGTAAAAAGATGTATCCAGAGGTGAATTTCTGAACTAATGGACATAAATAGAAATATTTTCCTTAAGTAGGTGGGGATATCTCCCACTCAAGTGAATGAGATTTGCCTCTATCTATCTAAATGGAGAATTGAGTCTAAGGAGCTGTATGTTACTGGAGAAGAGAGACAAGATGAAGGGTGAGACATAACAGCATGAAGTGAGAAATGTCCTCTTTCATTGTGAACATTTAGATTTTCTTGGTATAAAGATGGTGCAAGTCACAACCATTAATAAAAGCAATAACTCTATATTTATTTTTTCTCCAGATATATATATGTATATACAATGTGTGTGTGTGTGTGTGTGTGTGTGTGTGTGTGTGTGTATATAGTGAGAACTTGGGTGCTCAGATCTCCATATTGCTCTGGCAATTACATTGAAGAACAGCTAAATCAGAAGTTACTTTTGCATTCATGACCAATAAAAGCTGCTAGCCTGAGACAATGCAGCTCACAGTGTGCAGGGTGATACTTGTAAAAACTGGAGTTTGATGGTTAGTGAGGCTGACAACTTTCAGAGAGTGCTGGGTGCTGCAAGACTTGAGACACTGTAATTACTCTCCTACAATAAACAAGAAAATTGTGGAAGAAATAGCAACTAAAAACAAAACAAACCCTTATTATTGCTCTGACATCAGAAACAGCACTTTAAGAACCACATGGAACTAAATTATGTAGTGAGGTATTTATTAGTCTTAAACATCCAGAGAATATTTGGCCCAGTAACAAAAACTTTCCAAACCACAGAAAGGAAAAGAATTGATGTTTGACCAAATCTGCTGTGACTAGATATAACTATACAAATCTTTTGTTATTCTATATCAGGGTGTCAAATAGGTCCAGTAAACCACTGGACTGACATACTGCAGTGCGCACATATACAACATTCAGGCTGGACTCAGCAGTGTGTGCTCTGCACACAGCCCAAAGGGCTGACACAGGGTGCTGCTTGTAGCCGTGGGGCAGCAAGCCCTGGGACCAGCATGTGCTGCCTGCAGCGAGCAGGGCTAGATTGGCCACACACAGTACACAGGGCCAGCATGGGGTGTGCACTGCCCATGGTATTGACTGGATCTAGTGCTGCATGCAGCACAGTGCATCAGTCTCTGCTGCCTCATGCAGCCTGCACCCCAAACCTTCTGTGCCACATGCAGTACTCCAGCTCCTTATGCCAGGTTCAGCCCTGTGCACCATGTGCAACATACGCTGGTCCTGGGGCTTGCTGTGCCTGCAGTCCCTGGGGCTGGCATGGGTCAGGTGCTACCTGCAGCATACAGGCTGGGTCCACATCACAGGCTACATGCAGTGCTCCAAACTGACCCTTGTGCTGCCTGCAGCGCTGGATCTAGACGATGCAATGTGGGCAGCGTGCACCCTTAGTTAGCCCCCATCAAGCCGGGTGAGTTGAAGTGAAGCCAAGAAGACAGTTTTGGTATGCCTTAGAAAAAAAGTAAGGAGATAAATTAGATCAGGTTGACTGATGTTTTACTGGGACATGAGACAAAGCATTCATTGGCTCAGAGGGCAGCTTTGCTTCAATAAAATTTGAGAAAAAGCTTGGACCCTGATCCTATATGCCAAAGCCTGTGTCCATGCAGAGCACAGCTAACAGCAGAAGAGCTCTGCGCAGACATGGGGTCCTCCCACTGAAGTCAATTTGGAGGATTAGGGACTCATATGGACTTCAGGAATTGCACCTTTATATGATATGTACATCTCATGCCAGTCATACATCCTCCCACTTTACTGTTTTAGTATGTTCCTCACTAAGAGCTCACTTTTCCTCTCAGATACACTTTCGTTGTGGAAACAGCACATGTTTTTAGTCAGTTTGGGCTTTTATGGTAAAACTGAATGGCAGAATTTGAAACAGATGCTCAGGTTATTTTGAGGCTCCGTTATCTGCTTCCGTTGTACAGTATGCTTGTTTCATGTAATGGTGAGCCACCTGGTGGTAAGAGTTCAGTTGTTATAGGCCTTGATCTCTAGTAATCAGTGGCTTCTGCTAATTGTTTGTCTGCTCCTCCTAGGAATTTCTCTTCCCGCTCTTAACAACTGTTTTACTGTGCTGTGCTGGATTTTACTGATCAGACCTGATGAAGGATGTCTTGCACTGAAAAGCTTGTCTACCTCTATCCAAAATATGCAGTTGGACCAATAAAATATAACCCTAACAGAGTGGTTTTCAAACTTCCTAACGTCATGGAACCCTTTCATGTCACTCCTGCTGCTGCTCCTATCATAAAGATTGACATGGAGGCAGGAGCCCTGGCCCCACAATGGTACTGCACTGCCCCCCGATCTGCTCCACCATTACCCCCAGTCATTTTGCAGAACACTTAATTGCAGAACCCCAGGGTACCACAAAAAACAGTTTGAAAACCATTGCTTTAAGGAAACCTTGCTTCTCACATAATTCCTGAACCGTCATTGCTACATTGCTCTAATGCTACCAGTTGTTTTTAAAGATCGGGCATATCTATGCGTGCATTTAGACCAGCTTAAATTTACTGCACAGTAAGTTACTGTGCAGTAAGAGAGAATAGGCCAGCATCTACACATGCAGGTGTTAAAGCACATTAACACTGTATGTGGACTGAGTTGGGGCTAAAGTTATTCCCAAGTCAGTCCACACAGTGTTACTGAGCAGTAAGGCATCTACACATGCATTACTGTGCAGTAAATAATTGGGCATAAATTTGATACCTGCATGATGCAGATATTAAATTTATGCACAAGTCAGCATAAGTCACTGTATTTACTGTGCTGTACAGGCATGCATGTGCAGATACGCACCTGTACTGCAAAATCATTTCAGGTACCGCGCAGTAAATGCACACGTGTAGACATGCTCACAGTCACTACCTTCTAGATTCTCAGAGGTATTTAGGTGCCTCACTCTCCTCTATTTGTATGGGAGATAGGTTACCTAAATAGTAGTTAGGGGCCTAACTATCTTTGAGGTTGTGGGTGTATTGGCCCACTCCTGCAACCACTTTCTTTATTACAAAGGATAGAGCAGTATACTGTGCACCATAGTACAGGACCTGACCCAAAGCAGATAATATTTATTTTTTAACTGAATAGGGGATGAATAAAGTAAACATGAGCTCATTATTACTAGGGTATTGAAATATCAATTTCTTTGATATTTTAGCATACTAAAAGTATTGTAATTTACTTATTTTAAGCATTCCGCTTTCAAAGGAAAAATACATTTTGAATGATTTTAAATAGAAGTAAGGACTTGTCCTGAAACAATTCTGTTTTGGCATGGTGCCTAAAAATAGCCTGGTTGTATTTAATTCATTGCTTGATCATACATTTGCATTCTTAGTTTGAAATTATGACCAGTTTAGTTCAGTAAGTCTTGTGCTGCAGAGGTATGTGCAGTTAGAAAGGAGGTTGCAATACTGGAGAGCCCAGTACTTTGTTTTCTCCAGTAGATTTTAATCCTGGCAAAGCCTGCACGTAACTGTATGCTTTTATATACAGAAGTATTTCCCTTGGGTGGAATTATGAAGAAACAATAATTAGAACTCTTATTTTAGATAAACTCACATTATTTAATTCCAAAGTCCACTGAAACTAATAATCAAGTATTATACTGTTACTTTTAGCTAAGTCATGTGTAGAGTCTATTGCACATGCCAGAGGCAGACTACGTACAGTATGCTGAGGCAGGTGGAATACATAGGCAGACCATATTATATATAATATTTTTAGAAGGGGCAACATTACCCTTTAGTGAACTGACTAGGGGTGAAAAGCCCATAACCCCAATCTCTCACCCTATTTGAGTACACATTCAGTGGACACATATACTTTGCACTCAATTTCAAACAGTAAGGTTCTGGTTCTCCCTTTGCACAGTTGTACAACTAGGAAAGGACTCACCCAAAAACAGACAGAATGTGGCCCACCAATGTCATTACTATAAGCTACAAGATTGATATCCAAGCCATTTTAGCGCACAAACTCAAAACCCAGCTAGACCTCTCATCCCATCCTCCCACCATGGTAGAGGAATAGCATATCTGTCCAGAGAGTATAATAGGGTGACATAAAAATTAAATACATACTCACTAAGAAGTTGTGTGAGTCTCTCCTTACAATAAACACTTTTTCTTTTAGCCTTCTTTTTCCCTTTTCACTGCCAGTTCAACCCGCCTCTCTACAAAATCTTCATGTTCCTTTTCTTACTATTTTTTTCTCTTTTCTTCTGTCTCTAAAATGCAACATTTCCTTTCTTCTTCTTATATTGCTTTTTACATTCCCCCCATGCCTCTTTCAAGAGGAGACTAGACAGTCACCTTGCTGGGGTCACTGACCCCCAGTTATCTTTCCTGCTTGGGGCAGGGGGCTGGACCTGATGATTTTCTGCCTTACAATCTATGAATCTTTGCCATCTATACATGTCTATAATGCAGACATGATCTTTTATTATTGACACATGTATTTCTTAATGCCTATACACACAAGGTCTGTGAATTTGCTAACTTAGTTATATTTATATTCTTAGTAATATTTATATTATATTTTGAACTGGATGTAAAATGTAAAAGCTTGCTGCTTTATCCTGGATATGCAGGATGCCAGCGATGAATTTTAATTAGGCAACTTTATTAATGCATATACATCTGAGAACAACAAGTAGGTCACAATTACTTCTTGGCTAATTTCCACATGATGGAGGCCTGTGGACAGCTCCCCATATTTGCATGGATGATCCCCAGCCTATTTCTGAGACCCCACTGCCCTACATTTGTATGACTATTAAGGGGCTTGAAAACAGGGATACAGTCTCCTCACTGTATTTGACATTGGGATTCCTACCATGTTCCCCCCGCCCCAGCTTCTTTAAGAGAGAGTTCCCCATCATTGACATATGCTTCTGGTTTATTAGAGAGTAGGATCCCCTGTACAATGAATACCTGGGTGGGAGAACTGCCATAAGGAGGCACCAGCAATTAGCTTTACTGCCTCTTCCTCAGTCCTCACCAGAGTTCCCAGGCTCTCTCCTTAACATCAGACAAAATATATTCACTCCTTGGTTAGACAGGTGTACCTTAGCAACTCTAGTACCCTATTCCACATGGTAGAGGCTACTTACAGTAACTATGTGATGCTCTTCTGGTACCTCCTCATAGTGACTATTAATTTGAGTTTCAAATGAGATGCATGCTGGAAGGGAAGGTTTTATACAATCTCTCCTAGATGCACAAGGCCAATGACTTACCTGAGCCCTGATGGCTTCCCTATCTGCTCATGTGACAAGTTTTTCCTCCTCAGCTTTTCTCACCTCAGACACTATAGGATGGTGTGGAGCCTTAAGAGAGCTACAGGACTTTTCTCCTACAAGTCTAGACAAGGCCAGTCAGCCACCTTTGAATTTCTGCTGGTTGCCTTAAAAATGGAAATTTCTATAATCATTCTTGCATACAATATAATCAATCATACAAAGAACTAGCTTTGAATGGGCCTTCTTTCTCAAAACATGCCTATATGGTCCCTTTGGATACTAAGTAGTATTCTGTGAAAAATGTCTATGACTTCAACTAAGGCTGCCTTTAAACAATAATGAATTGGAGTTGTTTAGTGAAGAAAAAAGAAAGATATAAAATATAGCCCTTGTATTATGAAAGCTTTACTATTAAATAGTGGTCAAAAGCTTCAGACAGTAAAACAATCCTGAAAAAAAATTACAGTCTTCTTGTATGTAATGTCATGTTTTTTCACCTTTAACACAGTGGGGTAGAGATAAATCAGTCTCACAAATATAAAGATGTAAAATTAAATATCCATGTATGTTTCAGGTTCTGGCCAGCCTACGTACTGTACGGAATAACTTTGCTGCATTAACCAACTTACAAGATCGGGCACCCAGCAAGTAAGTGTGCACTCCCCACCCCACCCTCCACAGCCTTACCCTAATCATTTTGGAATAGTTCTTTTTAACTGTTAGAACCAAGAGCTATCGTTAGAACCAGCTATCATTTGCTCTTGCAGTGACTTAAACACCATGAAAGTATTTCTGTACAAGTAGTCTTGTTCACTTGAATAACATTATTTGAGGACTATGAAAGTACTGCTTAATGTTAGTAAAGCTGGTAAATTCTGCTCCTGATATTTTCCCAAAAAATGTATTAATCTCTGACATTTAGAACACAGATTAGTAAACTTGTACTGTTGTCTTTATCCAGCAGTGATTTCTTAAGTGAATATCTGGTCCTTTGTGAAATACAAATTTATAAAGATCTGAAAGTGAAAGTGCATTTGAAACCTTAACCTTATTGTTAGGCTGATTTAGAAACTATTATGAATATTACTGAATATTGCAGCTTCTTTCATGTTTTATTCAGTACTTGGACTGCTTCACCATTGCTTGCTGTTCTGTTTGTGAAGCACAAACACTTGGGCCTTAAGGCTAGGGACAGACATTCAAAAAGTCTGAGCCTGAATTGATTCAATTTTTGCAGGTTAGTCTAACCTAGCTAGGCTGAACTGGTTTGTAACTGCACAGACATCCCAGACATGCAGGCACATGCTTGCAGTGGCTCAGACTAGAAGCTAGGGGGTACTAGAGCAGCCCTCCCCTCCCTTCCACAGTACTGAGCTGAGGTGGGGCATGGCCAGACCTTATCAGGGTGCTCTGATTAGCCCAGCAAGGAATTGATAACAGTGTTTATTACCTGCTAATTCAGTGTTTGTTACCCCATTAAGAAAACAACAGAAGGACATTAAGTTACCTGTTGATTCTGCCTGTTGATTCTACCTGTTGATTTAGCAGGAACAGTAGCCAGCATGTGGTCTGCTAGCTAATACACAGACACCTCCTCAGCAAAGTAAAGGGGAGGGAGGGATTCCTGCTTATCAGAGAGTGGTGAGGTAGAGGAGGGAAGCAGCCCACAGTCTGTGTTGGAGCTGCAGCCTGGGGCGGAGGGGAGGAGCCATCCCTGCTATGGAGCAGAGAGCCCCGCTCAGGCCAGAGGGCATGCCAGGATGCTGGGGGTATCTGGTTTATCTTAAACTAGCAAGGGGCCTGAGATAGACATTGCTTAAACCACTTTGACCCAAATCAGTTAAGTCTGATACTACATTCAACCAGGTTTATCTCAAACCAGTTTCAGCCCTTTTCAAACTAGTTTATGTGCACTGAACATCTGTTCTGTTACAGGTTTAAACCAGTTTCTGATCACTTAAACTGGTTTATGTATAATGTCTGTCCCTAGCCTAAGTCAGCAAAGCACTTAGGCCCATGTTTAATTGTGTCGAGACTATTCACATGCTAAAATTTAAGAATTTGTTTAAGAATTCACATACTAAATTTTAAGAAAGATCTAAATCTTTGTTGACTATAGATGGCATTAAACACTTGCTGAATGGTTTATTTGAATTCTGAGCCAGAATGAACATAAACACTCTTGCAGTCACGGGTCAAGTTCTGTTGCAGTTATAACTATACTTCAATATTTCTTCTAAATCCAGTTTCAGTCAATAATGGCATTCTTATTACTCCTGAAAATTATGACTTTTCATCTGTCACTCACAAATAGTGAATCGCTCTGTACTGTTTGCTCTGCAGATGACTGTGAAATGAATATCATGAAAAACTAAGAAAGGAAATTTTATTTTTCAAGAAAGTATTCTTCAAGAATAAAATATTTATCAAACCCTGTATTAAGGATAGTAATAATGCAAATTATCAGGATGTATTCCTGGAATTCAATGGAATGCTTTTACTTAGTACTCAAATACTGACACAGTGGAATGTATCAGATGTTTAATAGCTCATGGCAAAAGTAAACAACAGATTACAATCATCAAAGTTTAGTTTTGCTTTCAAGGACTATGGGAATGATTCAAATGGGATTTATTTTATAATAACTTCAAATAGTTATGTCACTTTTCTGTGCAAAAATTAAATTAAAATAATGTTGTCAGGATTAGTTTTGCTTACTTGATTTACTTCTTTTCCTCCACTGCTCTTTGCAGAGTACAGTCATAATGTATCTATTTAAACCATTTAAAATGATACCTTTATGTTCACATATACTTTAATTGTACTGCCAGGTGACAAATTGGGTTAAACTAATGTCATATGCAGTGCCTGTCAGTTTCCCAGCTGTTAAAATCCTGACCCATGATTGCATAATTTACAGATTTTCAGAGTCGTGTAAAACTCAGTTTGTTCATATCGTCAAGCCAAAATGTTATTGTCCTGAACTGAATAGACACAACTAACTTAATGGAGAGGTGTCAAACTTATGGCCCGCTGGCCAGATACAGCCTGCTGAGCCCCAGAATCTGCCTCCCCAGTGCTGTCCTGTTGTGCCAGGCCCAGCTGTGCATGCAGTGCCCAGGATGCATGCTACATGTGGCATTTGCTGGGACTGGGGCCCAGGCTGCTCCACCAGTGACACTTGCTAGAGCTGGGTCTCAGGCTCGCGCCACCACACATGGTCCCCACAGTGTGTGCTGGATCAGGCATGTGGGCATGAGGGAACTTTGGGCATGATACGGTCCACGGGGCCAGATGTGTTCGAAACCCCCGACTTAATGGGACCAGAATTTCACTCTAGATCCCTCGGAATTCTGGAATATACTACTAAATAAATTAAATGGGATGTGTATATATACAGTGCAGCTCTCCCAAATATTCATGCTTACTGCATGTGTTTGTGGTTGTATTAGGTGGAGTGTTGGCCTGGTCTTTTTTGACTCACCAGCATGGACAGCCCAAATCATGCTGTACCATTTATGCCAGATAAGAACTTGAGCTTAGCCAAACTATGTTACAGTTCCTTTTTCAATGTAGTTTTCATGCTTGAAATGTTCCAATGCTGGAATACTCAATATTGTGGAGTGATGTGAGGTTCAACTGTGAACTCTGAGATATATCTATGAGCTTTTTATTATTTCTGAATATATTATTTTTGACAATTTCTATATGTTTCAACCCCAAATAATTTCCTAAATAAAAGTGTTTCAAGTTGAATATTTTTAAAATTCACTAACCTAAAACCTCATATTTATATATATATATATATATTTAATTTCATTGTTAGACGATCACCTATGTGTAACCAACCATCCATCAACAAAGCAACCATTACAGGTAAGAGAAATTATTATAACCCCAGTGTTTCTGTGTGAAAGAATCCTCATCTTATAAACCTGACTGCATATAAACACGTTCTATTACATCCTTAAGTTTATTTAATAAAAGCTGGTCTAGGCAATTTTTTTACTGTAAATATCAAATAAGTAATGTCTCAATTTAGACTACCATTTTATGGTTTTTATCTTTGTTGTTAATATACATTCACTCCCAATTTTTGCTTTTCTGTATGTTGGCAATTTCAGTAAACGAAGCTTTTTCCTTTGTTTTTAAAAAATATATCAGTATGTGTCTTAATGGTAATACATAGACTAGTACACCAGTGCAACAAAATGTAACAGTGGGAATGGCAGCTCACTGGGTTTCCAATTGGGATGTTGAGGTAATATCTTAGTATGACAGCAGTTAGCATAAATTGGTAGGGAGCTAATTTTCAAAATTACCTGTTTGACTTAAGAACCTAGATTCTATTCCCAAAATTCAGTTCGGTGCTTAGGAGTCCAACCCCTTTGAAAAGCAGTTTTCAAACTTTTATTTTTAAAAATTACTTTTAAAATATTTTATTTTGGAAACATATTTGGGCTCCTAAATCAGCTCCATCTTTTGGAAATCTTACCTTGGCGCACTTATTTAGCATCATGTCAGCTGATCTTAGTTAGCTTTAGAGAACATTGAGTCCTATCAATTTATATGGTATTACCTAATATGTGTTAGCATGAGTTCTTACACAATGTAACATCCCTGGGCAGACAAATCCACAGTAGGATGCCGCTTAAGTGAACCAATAGTGTTTTAGCCTCCTCTTAATGTACATGAAGGGCCCTTGAATGGATAGTTTAGCATTTCCATAATTTTCAACATTGAGTATTTTTATCCAAAGAAAGTAGATTTGATTTTTTGTTTGTTTCATGAGACAGTAACTCAGGGAGAAAACAGTGCTTTCGTTCTTATTTACAGGTTGTGGCTTTCCTTTTTTAGTCACCTATAAAGATTTATTTCTCTGGGCTTTTGAGAATAGTCCTCTTCTTCTTCCCACCACACAGCACAGTCACATTGGCTCTACAAGGCCCTGTCTTTAGAAATCCACATTGCTTTATGACATACATAAAATCAAGTCAATAGCCAAACTATTTAAAAGGCATATTTAATAAAAGCAACAGTGTGGGATCCTCCTCCAATAAAACTCTGTGGGACTTAATATTTTACCTAAACATTTTTGCCTAGGGGTGGTCAGAAAATTTGGGATTAGATCATGAAAAAAATGATGTTTACCAAAACTTCCTAACCACTTCTATTTTTTATTTACTATTTGAACACAGAACATGCATCTCCCACACTCGCTTCTTCACATCATTAAGTGCTGATGATTACATTCTAAACCTGAATTGCTTTTCATAGTCTCAGATGTCTACCTTCATTTTTCACTCTTCTTGTCATGTCAGGACTTCATGTGTTTCCAGATTAAGCTGTTGAGTTGAGGGTTTGAAGGTGTACCCCTCTAACATATCTTTTCCGCTGAAGAATTCAGCAGTTGATATTTGGAAAATTTTGTTAAATGTGGTTGTTTTTTCTACTTTCAGTGTAAGCAGAGTTTGAGTGAACCTCAATATGTGAGTTTGCCAAAGCCACTTGCCAACACCACTGTTTAATTTGGCACAGGGTTGAAATACTGCAAAATAGCTCTATATTGCTGTTAATTATAAGTTTCTGTAGCACATGTAACTCCACCTGATATTCACTAGTAAGGATGTAAATTGTGGCTAAATGCTTAATCTAGTTTAAGACAAATTGTGCACATCTGTGATCCTTCCTTAGGCATGTGTAGCTCACAGCTTGAGTGGAAAACTTTCTTTTCACTTTTAGGCTTTTTAAATGCCACTTTACATGCTGACATTCCTCCATATTTAACAGTCTTTTGTAATAACTCTTAAAAGCTTGGTAATTAAATGAATTAAGAGAAAAGTAACTGCAAAGATTTCTCGTGTATTGTGAACATTTCTTATGGTAACTATAACTATAACCCTATATTACTACATTCTTTGAAGAAGCTCTAGGGCTTGGTTTTACTTTATTTCATTTTAAATCATTTGAGCTATTTACGTTTATTCTTATTTTTAATTTCTGGACTTCCTTGTCTTCTACATTTTTGTTCTTTTCCCATTTCTAGGCACTAGATTTCAAAAGTCAGCAGCATGGAAGTGTTTATAATAATAAAAGAAAATACTTAGTACCCTTAGGGGGCACACTTGCACCTGCACTCAGATATTCCCCACACACAATTAACCAAGCCAGTACCTTAAAAATGTCTCAAGGTCAGATTCTTTCCTTTAGTAGGATTATCTGCCTAGAACACAGGACCATACTGGACTCTGTTGTTGATTTGTTTAAGTTTCCCACTGGTCTTGGGATTTGCTTTTGGTTCATCCTTGAAGAACAGTGTGTATGCAACTAATCTAGAAAATGTAACCATGCCAGGCAATGTATAGGAAGCACCAATGGAAAGCAAAGAAGAGTGGACATAATGTAATCTAATTCACTGTTACTCTGCCCTATGAAAGAACTGCTGGATGTGGTGTGCCTTCTCTACACAGTGGACATGTCTACATGAGATGCTAACTGCGCAGTAGCCTAATAACACTGCACAGTAGCATGCCGGGCCAAAACCATGCTAATACACTAATGTACAGTAGTTTTAGGCTACTGTGCAGTTAGCATCACTAAAAAAAGTGTGCCAGTGCTACTGTGCAGTAGTGCAAATTACTGCACATTGATTTAGTACGTGGTTATTTAAGTACTAAATTTAATGTGCAGTAACTATGCTGCATTAATGAACACGTAGACACACCCAGTTATGTCTGTGTACTGCCCTCCATTCCCTTTCCTTTTTCTTCCTCCCTTGTCTTTTGTATTTTAATTTATCCTTAAATACTGCCATGTGCATATCCGTTCATAGCATTTGATGAAGTAAGCTTCTGCTCACAAAAAAATTTGCTATACACACACACGCGCGTGCACACACACTCTTTGATTAATCCTTAAGGTGAATATCTACCCTGCCTTCTACTTGACGTCAGACTAACACAGCTAACTATGCGTCTCTGCACTGGAATGGGCAAAAGGACTTTACTGGCTAGGAAGACACTGAACCACAAGAAAGCTTCCAAGAGATTAAGATTCATTTTGGGTATTGAGTGAAGACTAAAGATAGGTTGCATTTTGTCTGAACTGGTTTTCCCATCAAATAAAGCTGTATTTGGTATTTCTCTTGTTTCTATACCAACGGATTTCATGACAGAAACCCAGAACTATGCATCGGTCTCTACCTGAGGCATATATAATCCTGGTTATGCATGTTACACCAAGGCATTATGCCAATGGAGAAAGAACAGTATGGATGTTTTTCTCACCTCTCTCCCAGCATTTCCAAAAAAGTAAATCTTTTGGCGCCACCTAGCCCCTTGGTGTTTGAAATGCTGTCTGCCCAGTTTCAAAGCTGTTGGAAAGTCTTCCTGTTTGTGGTTGTTCTGTTTGCTCTAAATATCTGACCATTCAGTGGTAGAGTGTAATGCCAGATGATGCTCATCATAGTAGCACAGATATTATTTCTTAAACTGTCAACAGAAGGGCACCTGAGGACACAAGGCACCAGTGCAATAAACAGGAAGATATATGTGCCATTAAGCAAGGCCATTTTTTAACAAGTACACGATCATCAGTAGGCTCCTCGAAATAAGTGTTTTAAAGAAGGATTTGAATGAGGAGGGGAATGTCAGAATGCTAAGAGAGTTTCTCTAACTAATGGGACAGCATGGCAGAGTCAGAGAAAGATGCAAAGGGATTTGGCAAAAGAAGGTCAGTAAGGTGGCGAGTAGAAATCTTCATATAGATCCAAAGGAGTGGAGGACACAAATGAAGACAAAACAGTGCATTAGCTAAAATTAGGTAACACTGGAGTTGACATGTACAGATTAGCACATACATAAAAATATTTAGCCTGTTTGGTAACAAGTATGGAAACCAGGACAAAAATTCATGTGAGCGGAGGTATGTAAAGAAGATACTGGTGTGTGATTGTAGGAGAAAAAAGGAGGTGGGTGGTTTTTTAAGTGGGCTGCTCTTATTAAGTATAAATATGCAGTATTTACTTAGTAAATGGAGTATGTTCTGCTTACTTTAAGTTGTCCATATTGAATCTCTTCAGAAGCTGTACTTAAAGAAAGCAATAAGAACAATTGCTTTCAGTGTGCTGGACAGTGGGATATTTTATCTCCAATATCAACTCTGGTTCCTAGTGAACAGCCTAAAACATGCCAGCCTGTAAGACATGAGCCTGAAGCTGCACTTCCCATGTTGCCACTGAGATCCTCTGTTTATTGTATGCCTTGAATAAAGACCTACAGTTCTTCTGTGCTTAGAGCTCAGCTCTTCAGCCAAAAAGGAGTTTCCTTGCTAAATGAATCACATCTTCCATACATCTAAATTCATATGGCATAACATTGTGTTTATGATAATAAGATCTAACCATCAATAAATAACAATTAACCTTTACATTGGCACAAAAGTCCTAAGGGCTACAGCAAAATAAGCAAGTTTTGAGATTCTGTGCTTAGTTGAGGAAAATATAAGTAATTGTTCATTCTTTTGAGGAGTCTGGAAGTCTGCCTATACACATGCTTGAGGGTGATGGGGAAGGGGCAGCATTTTAATTGGAAAGTTTCTCAGAGAGCCGCTCTAATTAAAATGCTGCAGTATCACCTGTATTAAGGCCCTGTACATTTTTAATGGCCATGGGACACTTTAACTAAAGCTCATTGAATGAGCTTTAGTTAAAGTACCCCCACAGCCATTTTTAAGCCTGTGGAGGTTTACGCAGGTGATGCTACAGCAGTGCTAGAGTGTTCCAAGTAGAATGCAGAGCAGACTCAATTAATCAATTAAATGAGTCTGCTTTGATGCATTCTAATTAGAACACTTCGGAGCAAGTGTATAGGTACCTG